AAGGAGGACAGAGGAGGATGGAGCACCAGGGGGAAGGAGGATTGGGGAGGATGGAGCACCAGGGGATGGAGCACCAAGGGGAAAAGAAAACTGGACAAGCCCTCTTGTACTCTCGACTTCTCGTACTGGCCTGATAAATGAGTGCAGTGACAACACCCACTAGAATAGCACACTTTCTGAGGATGAGGTTTGACACAAGCCCCTCTATCTCCATGGTGCCTGGCTCCCACCACCCACACCGGAAGTGCTGTGGCCACATAAGCCAGCTAGAGGCGACACGCGCCGCCAGCAGCTGGCACGGCTGAAGAAGGACGAGCGGCGTCTTGGTGAGAGCCGTGCACGTGCAGAGGGCTGTGCGGCTGCTTTATGATTGGAGGGAACTTCACTGAAAGTCAACTCCTGCTCTCCATGTTGGTCACAATGGTTTAATGCAACAAGAAAACACTCTCTCCTCCCACCTGAGGTCAACTAAAGCCAGGGGCTCTGACAGGGCACAGGGCATGTGTGTGCATGGCAGCACCCAGCCAAGCTGACTCCTATGGGGCGATAGTGGGGCTGGGGCAATGCCACCACCAGCTTCTCCTCCTGGAAGGGAGCCGTAGGCCAAGATGTCTCCGGGATGGGGGCAGCTTTCTCAGAGGCAGTGCAGCCTCCGCTGGCTCACAGCCGTGTGCCCGGCCACCTGTACGGCGCTGTGACCACAGGCAGTTTAGCTGCAGTTCAAATGGACAAGATAATGAAAACGTTCCTGAAGATCTGGGAGCAACAGGCGTGAGTCACTGATGCCACTGCAGCTGAGCGTCTGTCCCTCAGCAGCGGTGTCCTGAGGAGGCCAGCCCGGGGACAACACTAGACAACACCGTGGCCTCACTAATCTGGACGCTAGAAGGGACAAGTGCACTGGGCGGGCCAGGGCTCGGGGAGGAGACTGAAAAGCCGGGGAGCTGTAGGATTCTGCAGGGGCCAGGACACAATTTGGGGGCAGGGGAGTGGGGACAGGCTCACCACCCAGCTGGTGAAGATGACGATGTCCCTGAGTTGCACAACAGGGTAAGAATGGCAAATGTTGTATGAGGAACCAGCCAAGACACAACTGGTGAAACCCCTAAAACATTTGGAAGCCACCACTCTGGAGCAGAGCTGCTCCAATCCACCCATCACCAACTGCCCCAGGTGACGAGACTTGAGAGTCGGTGCTGGAATGCCACCGGCAAGTCCAGGGCTGTGGTGCCAGGTCCACTGTGACTCTCAAATGACCCGGCCCTGCAGGACAGACCACAAGGGTCCAGTTGTTTCCCAGGGAGCACCAGCAGCTGACCTTTGTGGTTAGAGGTGCCACCAGGGCTCCTTTGGGAAGTCCTCAACAGTTTGCTGGTGACATGCCAGCATGGTATCTTTACATTATCAGCTGTGGACCCATTCACAAGCTGCAGGGCATAGGGCTGCTTCCTCCCACCCCCACCCCACCCCCCGGCCCACAGGGCGCACCTGTTCCTGCAGGTCGTAGTCGCAGCTGTCGTGGAGCAGCAGGCTGAGGACGTACCGGCTGTAAACCAAGGCATCGATGCCGCACTTCTCCAGCTCCTGCCCCAGCCAGGTCTGCACGGGGCCCAGCGCGCGCAGCAGCGACATCTCGCACTCACACACAGGCCGGGGGCCGAGGGCAGGAGGGGCTTCCAGGTGGCACGAGGTCCAGGAGGATGCGGAGGGGGGCACATGGGCTCAGGTGGCGGCCAGCCGCGTAACACTGGGCATCTCGCACAGCGGGCGTTTCAGTGGGGTCTTGAGGGGGTCTTCACTCCAGGGACGCGGGGAGCTGCCTGGCCTCCAGGAGGAGCCTGCGTCCTCGCCGGCAGCCAGCATCTAGAGCAGGGGGTCTGTCTTCGGGCAGGAGCGGCAGTCCGGCATCCCGAGCACGCAGGGCGGGTCGCCTGGGACGTCACATGGAGGCCACGGGAGTCTCCGGCAGAATCTGCACCAATAGGGGAGAGGTCGGTGTGCGGACAGACAAGGGACCCAGATGTGCACAGCTGCCGGGGGCCCCTCAGAAGCCTGGTCTCCCTTAGAGGTGCAGGCCAAATGGATGGATGCTTCAGGGGCCCTGCGAAGCTCTGGCTCACTGGGGAAGAGGTGGGGGTGTGGAAAGAACTTACCTGGGACAAGCCCCTGTTGGGGTTGAGGCACAATATAGACACACAGTTGCAGAGCCATTTCAGTGGACACTGCGAAAGGTCACCGAGGATGTTTTCCACAGCTCAACGGCCACTCTAGGGCTGACCTTTACCAAGGTCACCAACACAATGTCTCTTCACACCCTCCATTGTTTTCCGGCCACACTGCAGTTGGGAACTTGATGGCCGTCACCCTGTCCACCCACTCGCTGGCTTATGGACGCCACCAGGAAATGAGGCCCCCACTTTGGCATGAAGCTCAGCAGACCACGCAAGTGTGACCACACGTGGGTGTTCTGGAAGTGTCCCAAGTTCTCCTGAGGGGAGCCCCTCCGAGGCTGTGCAGGGGGCTCTCAAAACCAGAGGAAACTGGACGAGACCTGGGCGGTCAGCTGCTCTGGCGGGTGGTAAAGCAGAGGGTTGGGCACTGAGTACAGATGCCCAGCCCAATGAAGGTGACAACAGAGACGATGACGCTGCCGTGTCATTTGCTATTTTTAAAGCCCTGTTTTCGGAATACGGAAACTGGATCAATGCGATGGCAAAGCTGCCCTAGCTGGCGGCCATTTCCAGATGTCCAGTTAGCCGGCTTGGGCACGGGGTGCACGTCACCAAGGGAGGCAGGCGCAGGGTCGAGTTCCGGGCCTCACTTGGAGCAGAGTGACTGGTCACAGTGGTCAGTGGGGGCACGTGAGCGGCCTGGGGGAATGACCTCAAACACTTCAAGGGCAGCCACAGAGAAAAGAGCAAGGGGGTCCTGCTTCCCGTGGGGAGAGGGCCTCGGAGGGAGGTCTCAGATCCACATAAAAGAAAAATAAACCAAGTACCAAAGACAGAGCCCAGCCCTCTGGAGCACCACACCGAGCTGGAGCGAGGTGCCCAGCAGAAGCCACCCTGACCCCGGGTGGGCCACCCCAGGGGAGAGGCGAGAGTATGAGCCCTCCCAGAGAAGGCGGCTCAGTGACGTGAGTCTGAGCCCTGGGCACCCCCATGGGCCTTAAAATAAGAAGGTGTGAGCTGATCTGTGGGGGCTGGAGAGAAGGGAGGGGACACGAAGGTGGCCCCAGGCAGCCCCTGGTTGCGGTGGTTGTCAGGGGCTGTCGAGTCAGGTCCAGCCACAGCGACTCTGTGGACAACAGAGAAGCGCTGCCTGGTCCTGCACCCACCTCGTCACATGCCCACATTTGAGCCCATCGTTCAGCCGCCACGTCATCCCGTGGAGGACCTTGCTCTTTTTCGCTGCCCCTCTATACTTGACAAACACTTCTCCAGGGACCAGTCTCCTGACAGCATGTCCACACACGTCAGACAGACTCTTGCCACCCTGGCCTTGGCTGTGCTGCTGCTTCTTTTTTCATCTGTTCACGGCCTTTCCATGCTCTCCTCCAGCACCACATTCAAGCGCATCCACGCTCCCCGTCTCCCAGATTCCATGTCCCACTGTCCCACCACAGGAGGTGACGGAAGCTCTCGCGGCCTGGGTCAGGAGCACCTTTGTCCGCAGTGACTCCTTAATCGTCAACAGTAGGAGATTTAGCGCCAGCACCAGCAAGGAGACAGGAGACATGCCAGAGCTCAGGCGCACATCTCCAGGAAGCCACCTGCACAACCAATGAGAGACCCACGTTCCAGAGAGGGGAACAGCTGGAACAGAAACCTCTGAGCAGTCTCGGAACACCTCAGGCCAGTGGACCCTCACGGAGGGTAGGAGTAACTGCAGCCGGACACCGCAGGGAGCGGGCAACCACTGCGGCCGGACTCAGAAGAGGACCTGGGGAGAAGGCTGTCGCTGCTGACGGATCGAGGACACAGTAGAGAGGACTGCTGAGTTTCAACACACTACGTGATGCCAGTGGACCATGTGGACAACAAACTACGACCAACCCTGCCAAGAACAGGAATCCCACAGCACGTAATTGTGCTCATGCAGAGCCCTGTGCACAGACCTGGGTCATTCAAGCAGAACACGGGGATATGGATGCTTTCAAACCACGATGGTGTGTCAGACGGGTAGTGCCCTTTCACCATACCTCGCCAATCTGGATGCCGAGCAACTAATTCAGGAAGGTGCACTGCACACAGAAGAGCGCGGTATCAGGATTTGGAAGACACCATCTCGCTCCCCCAAAATAAAGGCCAGAGACAACAGCCCTCAGTCTGGACTAACCTAAACGTGAAGGAGAGAGAAAGGCTCACAGCTGGACATCGAGAAGCCAGATGCTGTCAAAGCAACGTCACCACCGCACCACAGGCATCCTTGACCTCCAACCCCGTGACGCTCTAGAGCAGGGCAGAACTAACACGAGCTCCCAAGACAGCAACTGTTTCCGAGAGCAGAAAGACCCGTCTTCCTCCCATGGTTTCACACCGCTGACCTTGAGGATCACAGCCCCACGTGTAACCACTATGCCACCGAAGACAGGGCTGTACACGTGATCACAGACAGGGTGCCACCACAATCCCACTGAGGTTAGTCTACTGACTCAACGTCGGTTCATTCAGGATGCAGAAACACTGTAGTACATTAGTTGGGTCCTGCTGAGCTCAGGATGGTGGCCAGGGGACAGAAGCCCTCAGTCAGGGCAGGAAATCCAGGCCCAGGGTTTCCGGTCAGTGCTGACCTGCCGCCGACAAGGAAGAGCATCCTGGGGTTCCTAGCCTTTGTATTACATCCAAATGTGGCATGCACAGAAGGTGCGCTGAGAAACTACTGTCCTATCTGCCTCATCCAAGAGGTTCTTTCGCTGAGGAGCTTAGCCCAAGACCAGGAGCTATCAGCGAGGTCCTCCTGGACGATTATTATCCTCCTGGACAATGCTCACCCTGCTGAGGAAATTCAGACACCAGGAGCGTGCATGTTCTTTACGTCTGACACGCACTGCACACAGGCATCCTTTCATCAGGCTCTCCCGTGCCCACCCTGGAATGTGGGCACCGGTCGGGCATGGACCCAATGAACCGCACTCTCCCCAGACTCAGCACCAGGGCCTGTCTGTGACCTCGGGTGCCATTCCCCGGCCGCCCAGAACCCGGATGGGGAAAGCAGCCTGGCGGGGAAGTATGTGACCCTCCAGAGATGGAGGTCCAGCACAGCGTTAGGCTGGGGCAAGTCTGAGGGGCCAGGACCAGCGAGTCAGCGGGTCCCATCTGTCAGAGCGACCTCATCGGCCCAGCGGTCAGCTGGAAGAAAACACTTCCCAGAACCTAGACTATTACATAAGAAAATGGATAAAACGAGGTGTACAGATGCTTGGCGGCTCATCACCGAGCTTTCCCTGCCCAGGGCTTCCACAGGCTCCATCGGGCATGCGCACACTGGTTCCTGGCATGTCCGTGGTGCGTACTCCTGGAACGTGGCTCGCTGAACTCAGAGCTTCCTTGTTCTGCGAGCACTTCTTCAGCTGTGCCTGTGCTGCTCACTTGTTAAGAGACGCAGGAGCCCAGCCCCAGGGGATGTGGGTTCTTTCAAGTCTGAGAACACTTCTTAGGACCTGGCCCCTTCCCCTGGGTTTTCTTCTAAAAGGAGTCCGGCAGACTGAGGGAGGCCCCCCACTTCTTCTCGCAGACCCTCTGTGCAGCTAGGCCTTGTGGCCACTGTGGGCCCCACAGTGCCTCCCATGAAGCAGGACACCGTCACTGCTCAGTCCCAGGTGGGTGGACACACTGTGGTGTGGCTTCCTATCCTTTTGCTCCAAGGGTACCCCCTGCCTGCACCCCGGGCTAAGCAGACCTGTGGGGCAGGGCCAGGTAGCCACCAAGGTGACGTGAGCCAGGCTGCAATGTTTGGCACTTCCACTGCTATGAGCTGGGGGTTGTGTTAACTAAACCCCCGAGGCTTTAGCTCAGCAGGATTCTGGCAGGCACTTTCCTCAGTCCCCTCTCTGGGTTTGCAATCAGCTTGTCACAGCCTACAGCATGCTGGTGGGGTTCTGATAGGCAGAGCACTGACTATACAGACCACCCCGATGACAAAGGACTTTGTAGGCCCTAGTCTCCCACCTCAGGGGCTTGGGCCTCATCTTTTTTCAGTAAGTTTCCATTTATCGACATCTAGTCCTTGAGGATCACCTTATTCTTGGACAGCCCCAAACAATCTCTCCCCTTTCTACACAATCGCCGCCTACACACAGCGGTTTTCAGGCCCCCAAGCCCATTGCTACTGCACCAGGAGCACAGCGACACCCAGCAGATAGGGCACCTCATCCAGGACTCTGCCGCCCACACCTTGCACACTGGGCATCTAGTAAAGGCCTGCAGAATGGATTAAGTCCCCGGAGTCTGCCTGCTGCCCACCTGAGCCAGTGTCACTGCACTTGTCCTGCAGCTGGGAGCACCCACTACTGCCAGTTGTCTTGCTCCAGAATTTCCAATAAAAAAACCTGACTGCAGCCCCAGGGCGACTGACCACACAGGGTCCCAAATGCCACACAAACTATTCTGGATGCCAAACCTGGGTGCCTGGCGAGTCACCCCTGCATCTCTGCTGGTGCTGGGCGCCGGCCGCACTCCACCTCAGGAGGCCAAATGGGTATTTATTTCCTCCAGGCGTGGAAGCCCTCCATCGGCAGGCGTAAGGGAGTCTGGGTTGGGCCCTGCCAGCAGCCTCACTGGGCTGGCCTGAGGTGCCCAGGCCACTCCTGCAGTTGTGACCTCAGCTTCACCCTGAACAGAACACGCCTGGTCCCCCCACAGGACACAGGACAGCACTCAGACCCACAATCGCGCCACCCACAGAAGCCCTGCTTGAGCCTGCCTGCTGCTCAAGGGTGAGGCTGTCCCTGTGAGCCAAGGTGTCTCCA